TCCCAGCGAGGTCGGAAATTAATTTTTCCGAATTTAATTCCAAGGGCTTTCGCCCGGAATAACCTCGTTCCCAAGCACTACAACTTACCTATATTATCTTCTGTATATAGTTAGGTAAGTTTAAAAGAAAAATATGCTTTAGCTCTTTAGTTTTATGGACAGCTACGTTCAAAGGACGCCATTACGATGAAACCCCTGCTTCAAAAAAAAAAAAAAAAAAAAGGAAAATGGCATAAGAGATGCAATTTTTATCTCCTATTTCTCCGCCCCCTTGGTTCATAAAATCGAGGTTCAATGAAATTCCAGTAAGCAGCGGTCAATGAACAAACACCAGTAATGTTCAATGAAGCTGCTTTGACTATCAAGCATAACTGATCTTATCAAACAAACCTTTTGACCTCATAACTATTTGCTTCAAAGGATTTCCTAGAAACGTCGATATATAACAAGCTTTCACAAGTTATAGCCATTTACTCCGCGATTCTTAAATTCAATAATAACAGAATGTATTGGTTTTTTAAACATGGGTGTTACAGGGAGCCCAATTTTGATAAAAGCGAAAGTTGAAAATAGATTCAAACAAATATTAATCAATTTTTTATTGGACTTCCTAGATTTTTTTTAACCATTTCACTTTTATCTAAATTGGGCTCCCTGTGAACAGTTTCAACAAAACGAACACCTTTCACAAAGAGTGAATGAACATTTAGCCTGAATGTAGTGAGAGGAATTTTAAAAATATGATATGAAATAGGAATTAAACTTCTATTATCAAGAATTAGTTATAGTACCGGTATTTTAGACAAAATGCTTTAATGACATCCCTAAAATGATTGTATCCATACACAAATGCAACTAAATATAGCCTCTTGTGCAGGCTACCCCATATATTCTCTGTTGGGATCCCTTTGCTAAATTTTATGGCAGAGAACAAACCAGAGAGGAGGAGGAGTGGAGATAAGGTAGGGAGAGAAAAAAGAAGGTTCTTCTTTCTCCCTCTCCTCCACCTCCCCCTTCGTCTTTTTTGTCCTTGCCACAGGAAGCCCAAGAAGCAAAAAGAGCCAATAAGTTACCTGAGGAGAAGGCTTAACTAAATAATTAGCTCCAACCTCTAAAAAATAGAACTTCATGTTGATAAAAATTGCCAACAAGGGAGATTCTGCTAGCAGGGAAAGAATAAGATGAAATTTTAGTCAAAATTCAGCCGACATTTAAACATCACCAGGAAAAATCTACTGCATAATTTTCTATTGGGTGGACAATGGGGACTTTTGTTCCCTAATATTTCAAATACTAACATGTGATGTATAGTGCTTTAACCTCTCAAAAGCAGTTACCCCCTCCCCTCCCCCCACCAAGACTGCTTTTTGTACTCATTTTTATCAAATGGTAGTTTTTCTCAACACTGTTTCGCACATCAACACATAAAAACTCAGTACTTTTTGAGGGTTCTGCTACTGATATCAACTTAGCTCCTGTAAATTGGCAGCAAACGAGCTATATTTCTCCTACAAACAGGGCACTCTGTGACTTGCTCTGCGCACTCCCTACAGGCACAGATATGTCCACAGTCCAAAATCACGACATTCCTTGGCCTATCCAGACAAACTACACAAGTCTCTCCAGCAATCTCAGTATCAAATCCTCCTCCTTCATTCAATGTCCTGAAAAATTCCTCTGTTTCAAGCCTCTCTTTTCGTTTCTTGAAGTAACGGTACAATGCTATACACAATAATATTCCTCCACCAAATGCCAATGTGATGCTCAATATTTTCCAAAACTTCTTATTAGACTGAGCATTTCTCATAAGTGCATCAATCGTGAGCTGAGATAGGTAGTAAGACTTTCCATTGTCTGGTGGGCTTAGTATAATCCTGTCTTTTGAAAGGGAGATTTTTCCGATCCCAACCAATGTTGTTCCAATTGGTAAAACCTCTTCTACAGTCTGAAATCCTTTGGTTTTCTCTCCACTTGCCCACTGTATTATACTGTGTGTAGTATTGTGTGTTAGAGGTTCAAATCTATCGTAAACATTTTGTAGTTCAAGATTGCTTGCAGATAAAGGCTCAGTGACTACAACAGACATGTCATTTGCATGCAAGTTGAAGGGTACTGCCTGCGCCACTGTGTTGATAAGCTTTTTAACATCAAACCTAAAAAGAAACCAGTGATCTTTAAGTCCAAGCTAGGGCACCCCCTCCGCAGGTGTTTCTTTCTTACACAAGATTCTTAGGATACTAGACTGGACTGAAAAAAGCCCAAGTTTATCATGGTACAGAAACAAATAATAAGCACAAATGCTCAGCTCTAACTCCCAACTTCAACTGACAGACTTCACCTCACCTTTTACATTTCATTACATAAACTGTCATCCTTCAAATTATAACCCACTTACCATACTCTGGTAGATTCACTCCACTCACTTTTGAGCTCAAATGTCTTAACTTTCTGTACCAGACTGTAAAGATCAGGCACATAGGGACTCCTTAGTACATCAGAGGGACGTTTAGGCAAAGCTTCACCAGTTATAGCACCATAGGGTATGGTATTGTTTTCAGATTCCTGCAATTTTTTGACTAACTCTGGGCCAATCTCTAATCTAACTGCATTCTAAATTTAAAATAGAAAGATATACAGTTCACGAATGGATATTAAGACTCATGGTTCAGAGCAGGATGTTTACTAGGACAGAAGATGGACAACATCTGCAAAATTGCAGCAAAAATTCAAAATGTTCAACATAGCCTAACTTGTTTTAATCAGCTTATAGCTTGTATTGTCAATTAGGGGGTATTAACTCATCTTTTAGGGATTTCCATAAAATAAAAATGATCTAACTTTGTACATATTTATTTCAATAAAGTTAGCCCCCTGAAAAGCTACAAAGCTAAGACTGACAAGCCGATCATGGGTAGAGGCATTTTACATGTTTCAACGGCTTGATAACTATTGATGGACTGGAGAACTTTTACAGGTTACAGTCTCATCTCTTCTTAGCATCCTCAAGCTGCAGTTCTTACTTGCTTGGTGAAAAAAGTTTCCCATGATTTTCAGTGATCTCATTTTTCTGGGTTTTTCATGACTAACTTTATGGAAATAAGTATGTCATTTAGGGAGTATGATCCTGGTTAGGGAAGTTTCAGACGATTCACAAACGTGTGTGAACACTGAATGCTGCAATAAAGCTTGGAAGTGTATATTTATAGTATGGGACTGAACATCTTCTGCATAAATTTTGCATATTTCATTAGACATCTGCATGCTTCTTATCAAGGTTTACACTACTAGAGTAATATAGCTTATTGACTAATCTATAAATTGACTATGTCGTACAAATGAAGCCTTGAAATCTTTCAAAAGTCTTTTCAAGGATATCATAAAAGCAGGATAATCAAGTAAGCTTATTTTGAGTGTACTAAGTAGGGTTGACAAATATTCTAAAAAATATGGAGTTCCTAAATGTAACCCCATTGTTATGTAAGCTCAATCAGATCAAACCATCCTTAGGGAAATCCAGTACGCTAGATTATATTTGCCACTTTTGTGAGTCTTTTGGCCAACATTTAACGTTCAAAATGATATAAGCTTACAAAATTCATTATTTGGTAATGGAACAGACTTCTAGCTTCAACCTCACCTGTAGATTCTGTAGTTCGCCGTTTTTGCTTCTGTATATCGAATAGAATATACTCGATAATGCAGCACATCCTAGCCCTGCTATCAAACAGTAATCTGGCATATCTAAAAGGACTAAAAGAATAAAGATTTTCTGCTTAAATAGAAAGAGCAGAGTTACGTCAGAATTCGGTTTCCGTGCAAATTCTGTGACCTTAAAGATTCAGAAAACGGTTTCCAGTCTCACACGGTAGGTATTCCAGTCCACTGAAATATAACGACAAAAATAATTCATCTTTATATAAATGGGCTGAAACTCTCAGATTAAACAATTAATAAGAGAATTTCTTTCGTAAATTTCTTTAAACATTAAATATTTCAAATTATTATCGTGTTTGGGCTTCCTGTGTGCTTTTGAAAATCGTTTATAAATTTCTAGAATTTCAAGAAGCATTTTCATAATGAAAGCTCGAGAAGTGAACAAAAATAGTAAGGAAAGAAGAGTTAAGAAATTAAAAGGAGTTAATGGATTGGCAGGAAGGGAAACGAAAAAGTAAAAAAATTGCCTCTGCTCCTGGGGAGGCTCGAACTCCCGACCTTCGCATTTCGTAGTAGGGCACCCTCGTGCTCGCCCATACTGCTTATAAGTACGACGCGCTAACCGACTGTGCCACAGGAGCTTGGCTGAAGATTTACAGCCTCAAAATATTACTTATTTGTTTCTTCAGCTGTTTTGTCAATTTCTTCCACTAAATCATTAACGAATTTTGCCTACTTTCTCAAACCTAAATAAATATTCCGGATACTAGTCTAATCGACAATGACAGACACATGTTATCAAGGTCCCTTACAATGTGAAAAACGAAAAAAAAAATTTTTTTTTTAATTTCTGACAAATTCAGACCGGAAGTTGATTAGCGATTTTATATCAAATTGTGATTTTTTCCTCATATATTTAACTGGTTGTACTTACTATGGAACTTCAATTTAAGGACATAAAGGACATTTCTATTGCTGTAATAATTCTGTATGTAAATTATTTCCCTTTGAGGTTTCACTGAACCCCGGATCGATATGAAGCGCGATGTTATTACACCCTCTCGAAGCCTTTTTAGGTCCCCAAAAGGACAGAAAGGATTCAGAAAACAATTTGATTTTGAAATTCTAGTGATTCTTAGCTTTTTTTCCTCATTTTACAAGATATAAAGGAACGTTCATAATTTATGGGTGGAGGGGATGTGTGGATTTTGAGGGGGGGGGGTTGGGGCATTATTTTTTTAACTCAAAATTTAGGGAGGGGCTCTCAAAAAAGAATATTTCATATTTATATCAATTATTTTCTACAATTCAGGGGAACAAAATACTGACTAGGTTTGTAAAGAGAGGGCTATTAAATAAGATGTTGTTTTTAGGACTAAAAATCCACATACCACCCCCTCCCCCAATCCCAATGAATGGTCCCTTACCCCTCCCCCACAAAGACTAAAAAACACAGGTATCCAAGCTATTGTTTTGTTCCCGAGTCAAGAAAGTAATTTGAAATCCTCGGTCAAATGATCAAAATCAGGAGGCAGCATTTCTAAAATTCATTACTTTATATCACTTTTTGATGATTTTATTGGAGATTTTTAGGACTTCCTTTCATACGTACGTTTACTAGCTTTTGATTAATACAATTTAGGCCGTGGTATAGGCTGACCATAGCCCACCCTTTCACTTCCCATCCTCAATTTTTGTAATTGCTAAAGGCATGCGCTCAAAACTCGGCCCCTGTACTTGTTCCTTTAGAGCAGTTATCACAGGGAACGTGAGGTACTTTTACTCGTACTCTACATATACGAATTTGCCGTATCGTTTCCCATCCATACGAAAACCAGTCTAAAAATATGAGAGTTAATATTACAAAGTCATTATTAAAATTTCAAGCTCTTGGCGTAAACAGTCTTTTAGATTATAGGTTTTACACCATCATGTGATGGCAGTCATGACAAGAGGCACAACAACATTTAATCTTTTTTTCCCTGGGA